TCTTGGGGCCATCTTAGCCGTCTTTGAGACCATCTTGGCTGTCTTGGAGGCATCTTGGAGGCCATCCTGGGACATCTTCGCGGTCTTGGAGGCCATCTTGGGCCAACTTGGGGCAACAAAGGCGACGACGGAGCAATTTTCAGCAATCTCCCGGGAACCCGGCGGGACGCGCCGGAGCCCCGGGGAGTTCTTTTGGAAAAGAACCAAAACCAAAACCGAGAGGGTCTAGCACGCCAGGCACCCCTGCGATGAATCGACAGGGGGCGGCGGATCGAAGACGCCTACGGCGAATCACCGCCGCCCCCTGCCTTTTTGGAAGCGCCTATGTGGCAGAACGTTGAGGCCAGACCTGCCAAGCTATCGGACCATGTGTTCCCCGAATCGGGTTGGAAAGACTTCGGGGAACACGTGGGCATCTTGAAGGTCATCTTGGCCGTCTGGAGGCCATTTTGACCCTTTCGGGCCTTCTTGGAGGACGTCTTGGAGAGCTCTTGGGTCGTCTTGGAGGCCATCTTGAGCGTTTTGGAGGCCTCTTGGGGCCGTCTTGGGGGCCTCTTTGGGGGCACTTTGGCCGTCTCGGGCCGTTGGAAGGCAGAAAAAGAGCAAATACCACAACCCTTCAAACACCTAGGGGAAATCAATGATTTTGGCCTTTTCGGGCCTTCCTGGAGGCCCTCTTGGAGGCCTCTTCGGCCGTCTTGGGCCATCTTAGGGTTATGTTCGGCCGTCTTGGTGGGTTCCTGGCACGTCTGACGCCGTCGGGAGCCGTCTTGGGGGCCTTTCTGGGCCGACTTGGGGCCCTCTTGGGGCGCTTCCGGGCCGTCTTGGAGGCCATCTTGGGCGTGTTGGAGGCCTCTTGGGCCGTCTTGGGGCCCTCTTGGGGCCGTCTTGGAGGCTTCTTGGGCCGTCATGGGGCCATCTTGGAGGCCTCTTGGGCGATCTTGGGGCGACCTTGGGGGCCTCTTGGGCCGTCTTGGGCCGTCGGAAAGCCGAAAAGGCGCAAATACCAAAATCCTTCAGAAACCAAAGGAAAATCAATGATTTTGGCCTCTTCTAGCCTTCCTGGAGGACCTCTTGGAGGCCTCTTGGGCCGTCTTGGAGGCCTCTTGGGAGCCTCTTGGGCCGTTTTGGGCCATCTTGAGGCCACCTTAGGGCGTCTTGGGTGCACCCTGGGCCGTCTTGGAGGCATCTTGGGGCCATCTTAGCCGTCTTGGAGGCCATCTTGGCCCTCTTGGAAGCGTCTTGGAGGCCATCTTGGCCATCTTGGACGCCATCTTGAGCCGTCTTGGAGGATTTTTTGTGCACGTTGGGGTCCCGGGCAACCCTCCCAGGACCCCGGCGGGACGGGCCGAAGCGCCAGGGGGAGTTCTTTTGGAAAAAGAACCAAAACCGAAAGGGTCTAGCACGCCAGGCACCCTTGCGATGAATCGACAGGGGGCGGCGGATCTAGTGGCCTTCGGCCTATCCCGCCACCGTGCCTGGGCTGTGGGTTTGAGGCTTCTTGTATGTGTGTTGGGATCTCGTGGGACGCCTCTCGGGGGCCTCTGGGAGGTAGTTTTGACGCCTCTTGAGGGCCGTTATGGGGCCTCTGGGGGTCTCTTGGGGCCTCTTGGGCGCCTCTTGGGGCCTCTTTGGAGTCTCTTGGGGGTCTCTTGGGGCCTCTTGGGGCCCTCTTGGGGCCTCGTCGCGACGGAAAGCCAAATTTTCGAATTTTGGTCGCCCTCCTGGGCCCTCTTGGGGCCGTCTTGGGGCCCTCTTGGGCCGTCTTGGGCGCCTCTTGGGCGGTCGTCATAGAACTGGCCCATAAGAAATAAAGTCCGGGGTGGAGCTGGTCGGTCCAAGAAGCAACTTTAAGAGTATCAATGAATTCTTTCTATAAGTGCGACAAGTTTTTTTTGCCGGACCTCAGTTTTAACGGACCAATCGTATGGTCAGTTCTATGACCAGTTCTATCCAGTTGTACCAGGTCCGCGCCGTGGGCACAGCGGCGTGTCGAAAGTTCCTTTGAAATTTGGAGGAGCCGTGGACGTGCCAAAACGGCGTCAGCCCCCCCTGCCCCCCTTAGAATCCTAACAAGAAGAGTTTTTCGGGCCTCTGCCATCGGCGGGATAATTACCCCTGGGGGTCCTGGGGCTTAATCATATTATTGTAGTGGCCTCCGGCCATTGCCGCCGATCCGGGGCGCTCCTGATGCGTGTGGGAATGGACGATGACGACGACAACGGACGACCAACCGTCGACTAGCGGGATCATTACTACGACGACTGACGAACAGGTTAACGACGGAGGAGGAGGAGGAGAAGGAGGAGAAGGAGGAAGAGGAGGAGGAGGAGAAGGAAGAGAAGGATGATGATGATGATGATGATGATGATGATGATGATGATGATGATGATGATGATGATGATGATGATGATGATGATGATGATGATGATAGATGAGGAGGAGGAGGAGGAGGAGGAGGAGGAGGAGGAGGAGGAGGAGGAGGAGGAGGAGGAGGAGGAGGAGGAGGAGGGAGGAGGTGCGGCACCTGGGAGGGGGGCTGGCACCCGGGAGTGAGCGCCGGCACGGGGGGGGGGGAATGTCGGCGCGGGGGGGGGTGCCGTCACTGGCACTGGGGGGGGGGCCGGCATTGGGGGCAGGTGCCGGCACCTGGGGGGGGGGGCGGACACCACGGGGAGGGGGACGCCCGCACCGGAGGGGGGCCGGCCGGCAGGGCGGCCAGCCGGCACTGGGGGCAAGCTACTGGCACCCCTGCACTGGAAGGGGGGGTGCCGGCACCGGGGGGGTTGTGCCGGCACCGGGAGGAGGAGGAGCGAGCACCGGGGGGCGGGTGCCGACACCGGGGGGCGGGTTCCGGCACGGGGGCGGGAAGTGTCGGATGCGATGGACAGGGGGGTGCCAGCAACGGGGGAGGGGGGTGCCGGCATCGAGGGGGGGGGCATCGGGGAGGGGGTGCCGAGCACAGGTGCGGGCACCAGGGGGGGTGCCTGCGAGGGGGGGGGGGGGGCAGCACGGGGGGGGGAGCGGCGTCGAGGGGGAGGGTGCCGAGCACTTAATGCGTCGGATGAGATCCCCCCCGGCAGAGCGAAGCTTGAGCGAGCTCAAGCCCACGCTCTCAGAAACTCACACGCCGGATCGGACACGCCGGATCGGCGGATACTTTGGATTCCAGACGGAAATGATCCCATCTACGTTCAAAACAAATATCCCGGCCTCTCCCAGATCCCGGCCGAATGACCCCATTGATTTTTCTCATGCGATATGATTACCCCGGGGTCTCCCTTGCGATCCTCATTCGGCGATTTCGGTTTCCTGTCTTTCAAAGGCAATTTTTGTGACAGCGAAGTAGTCCCACGGTTCCCCCGTGGGCTGTCCCGTTGGTTGTCCCGTCGTGGCCCCTTGGGTTGTCCTGCGGTGGTCCCGTGGGTGCCACGCGGTTGCGCATACGCGCATCGTCGCTTGATTATGTGTCGTGGTGGAAGCATGCGCACCCACCACCGCACGATACAAAACGCGCGCGCATGTAGAGCACGGGAACGCCAAGAAGTCACCGAACACATTTAACGTGGACGGTGCCTGGACAAAAAGTGCCCGCGCCCAGGGCGGCACGACACTGCGGCATGATAACAAACTCAACAGCATGGTGCACTTGCCTCGCACCCATCCCCCCAGCCCAAAGTTGAAGTGCCCACAATTTGGGCCTGCCGCCCAACCCCGCCAACTTTGAGTGGGGGGGAGGGGGTTCTATCCGTTCGACGAGATTCCATGACGAATAGTACTGGCGCGACAGGTGTGGACACTTTTAGGCCGCCCACCGTTCCTCGAGAACGAGCAGTTTTGACGGGGACCGCCGGGAGGTCCAGGAGCCGCGCCCAGGGGCGCCACGCCCAGTTGCCACATGGCTGCCATTGGCCCGCCATGGACACGAGGACCACCATGGGGTCCCAGGGCCGCTCCGCGGGAGCCGTCCTCCCCTTCCATGGGCACATATGTCAACGGGGACTAGGTCCAGGGCTGCCCCGGGGGCGCCGTCCGCTGTTCTCACAGGGCCCCTGTGGCTGCGGGGACCCATGGTGAGTCCAGGGCCACCCGGGGCCCCGTCCGCCGTTGCCATCGGGCCCCTGTGGTAACGGGGATCACTGGGTGGTCCAGGTGCCGCCCCAGCTCTTGGGCTGTCTTGAGGCCCTCTTGAGGGCCTGTGGGGGCCGTCTTGGTCCAGTCTTGGGGGCCTTTGGGGACGTGTCGGAGCGTCGGATGGTCGAAGCGTGGAGAACCCCAAAAACATGGAACAACCTAAGGAGCACTAGTAATGTTAGCAGCCTCTCGGGGCCCTGTTGGGAAGGCTCTCGGAGGCCTCCTGGGACGTCTTGGGCGCTTTTTCAACGGACTGGAGGCCATCTTGGGCGTCTTGGGCCGATCGCGCAGTGCTTCGGGGCCCTCAAGGGGCCCTCTTGGGGGCCTCTCGGGGCCTCTTCTGCCCGCCTTGGCACTCCTTCTGGCCCCGGACAGGTCGCGCGGCAAAACGCTGGGAGCCGCTGGGGGCACGCTGGGATCCCAAGAATATTTGATAGCCTCCTCCTCCTCCTCCTCCTCCTCCTCCTCCTCCTCCTCCTCCTCCTCCTCCTCCAGGGGCCTGGGCCCCTCAGTAGTCTTCGGAATGGAGGACTCAGGCTCAGGGGGAGCAGGGGACCTGGGCGATTTCCACTTCGTGCCACAGGGGCACGGTGGCAGGTGCACGTATTGGCGTGTCAACACACAGAAGCAGAGAGAGAGAGAGAGAGAGAGAGAGAACACAAAACACAATAGACAGGGAGAGAGAGGGAGAGAGAGAGAGAGAGAGAGAGAAAACTAATGAGAGAGAGAGAGAGAGAGAGACAGAAAAAGAGAAATATAGAGAGAGAGAGAGAGAGGAAAAAAGAGAGGGAGAGAGAGGGAGAAAGAGAGAGCGAGAGAGAGCGAGAGAGACCGCCTCTCTTGGCGTGGCCGCTCCCCCGCCGCAG